TATATATATATATATAAGAGATAAAAGAAAAAAAAGAAAGAAAAGGATGGAAAAAAGTTTTCGTAGCAGCGAAATAAGATTCTATTTGAAATTTAGATTTCACGACAACTGAACGAATCGAGGGTACGAAAAACCGGTAACGATTTCGATACGGAAGGAGGGAATATTTCAACCGAGGCTTCTTGCGATCGGGTTATTCCAATCTTTGCGATCGATTTCAGAGGAGGATACGAGGAATTCCTGTATTGCAAATTATCTCTCCAATTTTCTTTCTTCTTTCTTTTTCTTTTCTTTTCTTTTTTCACGATTTTGCGAAGTAAATTCAAAAAAAAAAGCCAAAGCTTCGAATCGATTCTCGAAGAGAGATCGGATCAATCAGAGCGATCAGACAATTTTCGGGGCCGATGTTGATATAAGAAGGGCAGAGGGGGCAGGTAGAAAAATTCGAAAAAGAAAAAAGAGAATTCCGTACATTAAACTTTTCAACTACGTGGAAAATCTAAGCAGAGATCTGCCGACGTCACGATACGTGCTATGTATATATACGTGTATCTGGTCGGAAGGAAGGAGTTGAAAGAGCGGGATACGCGGTGAAAAGTAATATCTGCCGGTAGCGAGAACTTATGCGCCGCCCAGCCTCCCAGTGTAATCGTGCTTTATACCTTATCGAGATCCTGACGCGATGCTGAAATCGTGTAATTGCAACGCGCTTTTTCCCCTCTTTCATCCCCAAAAATGATGGAAGAAAATGTTTTTCCCTCCTCCTTTGACTCGCTCGTTCGTGCCGCGATACAGATAAAATTCCAGATGAAAAGGTCTCGTTGGAAATTGCTGAGCGAATACGCTTTTTTCTTTCTTCTTCTTCTTCTTCTTCTTCTTCTTCTTCCTGCTTCGACAGAGTTTGGAGGAGATTGGATGCGGTTGAACGTTTCCAGGCGAAATGAGATTTTAATTAGCGCGACTCTGGTATCGCTGCTGTTGCTCGAGGTAATCCAAAGATCGGAGGGGGTGGGGGAAGGAAAGAATATCATCGCTCTCTGGGATTTAAATTTCCTCGTCATTTTTCCCCCTCCCCCGTGTAATTTAACCGAGCGCAATTGTTTCGTGCGAAACGAGCATTAAGCGAGGATAGGATAATCCCGGCATTAATTCAGCGGAGACGTCTTCTTTCGACAAAATACTACAACAACAACTACGAGAGGGGAACGAGAG